ATGTGCATTTGGGCAAGCAGTGCTACTTCAGTTCATCACTTACATAATACAAAAGATAATGCCGGAAGAACTCACTTATAGATCACAACCCCCCATTGAAATTGTAAGTAATATCATAACCAAGTAAATTATCCAGATGGATTATGAAAACAAACAATCTCAAGCTAAAATTCCAAATAAAACATCACATTCAAACATTATATCCTATCACAAACTATGAACAATACACATACAAACCAGCTCTGATTTGCCATATACAGAAGATAATGAAGTGCAGATGCATATGGCACTTCATGCATTCACTGTACACACAGGAATCATCATAAAATGCTCAATGGCCTTTCAGATAATTTCTCTCTTCATTATTACTAACCTGTGCATGTGAAGCGGCAGGTCAGTTCAAATCCAATCCTCCATAGGAGTTTATGGCTGTGATTTTCTCTTCTTTTAGCTGTAAATAACTGATCTTTGATCTTTGTTTCCAAAATTTATTTCTTCAAGTAGAGCAGGCTTCTTAGCCACCACCTTCTGTGGTTTTAACTTCAATGCATCACTATTTGCTGTGTTGTAACTAGTCCTTTTCTAGCTGCAGGGATATCATGGTTATGTTCCCCTTCGTATGTGGTTACAACAGCTTTGGGGTCCGTTGAAGCCCTCTCGACATGCTTACGAACGTTGCATCCAGCACTAGTGCATTTGTAGTAACTCCTGCAGCAGATAGAATCCAAAGCATCAGAGATGATTCTCATAGTAACTTAACTATTTCTCTTTTTTCTATTTGTTTATAATATTTTGGTCGCACAAAAAGTAAATGCAAATGAGAACATGAGCAGCTCTTAAGCAATAAAATATAGATAACAAAAATTTCCAACATCACAGACTGCAATAAATTTCTTTCCCAAATGATTCTCAGAACTGGTTATGTTACAATATCTAGAAGAGGGAGAAAGAGAATATTGTGTGATGTGTATATTCAATATTGTATTGAATAATTATGCAACAATGTATACAAGACTCCTTTATATAAAGAGGAGAGAAACCTAAATATGGTAATCCTAAATATGGTACTGAACATAATATGGTGGTATATATGATAGATAGAATATATAGTTACTATATTTAACACCCCTCGAATTGAAAAGCCCAGCCCACACTTTTTCTTAAAACCAGATATTAAGGAGAGGAAAACTGAAACCTTATAACTAGCACAGATGGGACAACGCCAGGCGATGTGGGACACATTCCAACACACCTGGCACACCAGTTACCCTCCTGGACCACAACATACACTAGTCGGACAAACGGCACACCAGTTACAGGCCCAACCAAGCTCTAATATCAAATTGAAAAGCCTAGTCTACACTTTCTCCTTAAAATCCAGGTATTAAGGAGAGAGAAACTGAAACCTTATAATTAGCACAAATGGGGAAACTCCAGGCGATGTAGGACACATTCTAACTCACCAATCACCTTCCTGGACCACAGCATACACTGCCCAAACAAACAACACACCAGTAACACGCCCAACCAAGTTCTGATACCAAATCGAAAAACTTAATCCACACTTCTCTTTAAAACCCAAACACTAAGGAAAGGGAACGGAAACCTTATAACTAGCACAAATGGGACAACTCTAGGCGATGTGTAAGGCACACCAGTCACAGGGCCAACCAAGCTCTGATACCAAATTGAAAAACCTAGCCCACAATTTTTTTAAAACCCAGGTCTTAAGGAGAGGAAAATTTGAGTCTTATAACCAATATAGATGAGGCAACTTCAAACAATGTGGGACACATTCCAACAGCTTACTGCACATAATTACTGTCAATTAAACAGTAAGGCCATACACCATCTATTCCATCAAGAGGCCAACAAAGTCGGAATAATAAAATTTGTGATTGAAAATTATATGGCAAAAAGAATCACATAATCAACTAGCATGAATCACGATGCAATTCATCAAAGAAAAACATAAGAAACGAAAATGAAAAGGATTTTAGGTCTCCTGTAAAATTATCATAGCATAGATCATTCTTGATGATATGGTATAAATAGGTAATATTAAGACCAACATATACCACCTTGGATGAGGATTTCCCTTGACCATTTTCTGCCCATATTTTCGCCACTTGTACCCATCGTCCAAATGATCAACTTCACTCTTTGTCTTCACAACATTTCTAGGTTTTGTGACCATTCTATGTGACGAAGTCGGCGCAGATGTACCAACCTCTGTGTTCCTGTACTACAACGCAATCTAGATAAGAAAATAGGAAGATAAGAGAAAAGTATTCACTTCAAGAAGAATTACTAGGAGTCAAACTTGCCTTTTCTTGGGATTTGGTTCGTCATTATTTTCCTCATCTAGTCTTGTTTCATCACTTGTTTCTACACAATCACTTGATGCTGGTTCATTTGGCCTGTTCATTTCTGTCTCACCCTGCAAACCAAGTTCAGACCTCACCCGAGAGTCCAGTCTTGGGTTCATATCAATAGTATCTTTTGCAAGTTTATTAGAATGTGGAAGTTCATGATTGTGGTGGCCATTGTAGATAATCTCAATTATCTGTCCATCAAGATTACGCTCAACCTTCTTCTTGGCAGGGCAATTGAGATGTGTACATTTATAGTAGCTTCGAGGATATTCACTAGCTTTGACCTGTTTCTGCCCATATTTTCGCCAGTTGTAGCCATCATTTGCAGATTTGTCAACAGCAACGGGAGGTAGTGATTTCCCATCGGATTGAGAAACCTCTGACGATTCCATTATGGAACTTTCGGGTTCTGATATCACGCTGTGCACCTTTTGTTGTATTGTTGTTTTGGAAGCACGTGATTGATGGTGGCTTAAAGATTCTGCAGAAGCTGCTAGTGAAGAAGGTTGATTTTCTGCTTGGACGTGCATATAAGATTGAGATAATGCAGCCTGAGCTGTAACTTGTGCCAGAGCCTGCTGGTGGGTCATTCCAAAGGGGCTCTGCATGGAATTCAAAAAGCATGTACATTAAAAATAATAATAATAATAATAAAATAAAAAACAGAAGTGAAAACATATCAAGAAGAAATTACCTAGATGGACATCTGAATTCCAAATTCAAATCTTTTGATTTATAAATTGCATTTAGTTAAGAGGGGTGAATCTCATGAACTTCTTCTACATTAAAAGAGGTAAAGAAAGCCTTTGGCTACCAATATGTGCATCATATATGAAGTTTTCATAAGTAAGGAATCCTATACAGAAAGGAACATTGATAAGTAAAACCAAGAAACTGCAACCATCACAAAATCCACAGATTTGAACGTAGGTCAAATTGCATCAGTTTCTCATCTTCAGATGTGAAACAATGTTTTGTATGCCAGGTATGGGTATTATAATAAATCATGGGTATCTTCAAGATTTTCTGGAATACAACTTATATTTTATTTTCTGCATTTTTTCAATAATTCTATATACTAACACTTTCCACAATGTCAAAGCAATAGCTCACTGCAGATGTTTTCAGATCAAACAGTGTAAAATCTCACATCAAACAAAAAAACAAAAAAACAAAAAAACAAAAAACTAAAGCTTTAATCTCCAGGGAAAAAAGAAAAATTATAAACATGTATATGTATAGGCATTAGTTGCATAATCTGTCAATATTAGATGATCCCCTGAATCACACTGACCAGTTCCTATAATAACCAAAGGCCCTCATAATGTTGATAGCAAAGCAATTTCAAATCTTGATTGGGTCGCCACTTATCCAAGTGGAAACTAAACCTCAATATTTTTTCAAGCAGTGCCAAATGATGAGAGTAAAGAATTGAATGTCAGAAAACAAGCCCTTGTGAGCATGGATGCATTAACACAGGCACAACTACACATGTACACTATACAGGCCCTGCATATAGCACCAATCTATTGTTGTAGCAAAATCACAGTTGTTGTTAGCTTGAACACACCAGAGCCTATTCTGCAAAAATTATGCATAAAAAACTTGGTTTTCGAGCTTATAAACATTTTACTCCATCAATCTATGAATCTGACAGCCACAAAAATAAAATTGTTTCCAATTTATGATATTTCATGCATATCGTTAAACATAAAAACAAAACACTTCCACCAACAATTTCATAAAATTTTAGAAATTCACCTGAAGAGGCGAGAAGAAAGCGGGTGAGTTAAGAAAACCAGGACTCGACACAGGAGGAATCATGAACATAGGAGAATGAGCGAGCACCAAATTCACCGGCCGATTCTGCTTAAACCCTAAATTTCGATCCCAGCCACTTTCAGAATTCACTTCCTTGGGCGAATTATCGGCTAAAAAGCTGCTGGGCATCTTTGTGGCGGCGACCGGCGAAGCTATGGCGGCGGCGAGGAGCTGAGAGAAAGAGCGGCAGCCAGAGTCGGCGTAAGTCTCAGAGAAGAAGTTGGAGACGAGGGTTAGAGGACCAGGGCTTAAACCGACCACGCCAGTGAAGAGGGTATCGATGGAGGAGCGAGGCGGGAGTGTAATCGTAGGGCGTGGAGGTGCTGAGACCTTGGAAGCTCTGTCTTTCATGGCGATTTCACTGTAAATCTTCTCTCTCTCTCTCTCTCTCTCTATATATATATATATATAGAATTTGAGTTCTGCTGAGCCTTTAATTGCGGAAAGAATCGAAGCAAAACTTCTTCAACCCGATTCTCATCTGTCCCCTCTCCCTCTCTCTCTCTCTCTGTCTCTCCACTGTACAATATGAATATATATAGACACACAAGCATGCACTATATTGGGTCGACAATAAGGCAAAAAGAGAGTCAAACAGACCCATTTAATGAAAAGAAATCCGAAGACTTATGCATCAATTAATAGCAGCAAAGCAAGTGAAACGAAACACTCTTTTTATCAACATACACAAAAGTGAATTGATTTTTGAAAGCAATGAACTCACAGGACAGAGAGATGAGACGCGGCATTGACAATTTTGTCAGGAGTGAAGGATGAACCCATCGAAGCCGTTGGGGCGAGGCGTTGGAGCTTGGCATTCCAATATCCTTCGTCGAGGCCGCCATTTCCTCCATCCAATTTTCGCCATAATTTCCATGAAAGTATCAGTACAGACACCATTGTTAGCTCGAACCCAAAATTCAGATTCGATCATTCTGATTTTCTGTGTGGAAAATTGGTTAGAAATTGGACTTTTAATTTTTTTTTTTTAAAAATATGTAAAAAAATAAAAGAATAATAAGGTCTCGTTCAGGAACATGCTATTTAGACCAAGTTTGACAATTGTAAAATAATCTATCTTTTTATCTTTTTTTCATCACATTATCTCTCTACTTTTCTGCACATTTTTTCGTAAAAAGACAAAAAGTGCACTTATTTAGGTCATCCTAGACAACCCCTTAGTAACTTTTTACCTTTTGAGCTAAAATATGAGCTAAAAAAAATTAGTATGTCTGAAGCGACTTTTTGACTTTTTACGAAAAAATGTGCAAAAAGTACAGAAAAAAAATCTTTGACTTTTTGGTATAGGTTATAGGTTTTTTTGGCTTTTTTTAATAACTTTTTAACTTTTTAACTAAAATGTTAACTTGCCAAACGAGACCTAAGACTCAAAATAAATTAAAATTTAAAATTTAACTTTTAATCATGAGGGTAAATTAGGCTGACACTCTTGAGATTTGATTCAATTATATCTTACTTTTTAATATTTTAGAAATTATATTCTCACCATGTGATTAATAATCTCATTTCATAAACTACTATTTATATAAAAGACAACATCTCTTAATAGAAAACAAAAAAAATTACATTGAAAAATAATAATAATAATAAAATAAAGAAAAGGAAAAAAAAAACAAACAAACAAACAAAACAAAATTTTAAAAAAAGAGTAAAACAAAGCAAGAAAAGAGAGAGTGAATTCAATATTTTCATTCCGTCTAAATAATTACAATAACAGAGAATTAATGTAATTTTTCAAACGTCAAAAGATAATATTTAGTAAACTTAAATCTCAAGGGTGTAAGTGTAATTTACCCTAACCATGATCCCAAATTAAGCCAACCATGATCCCAAATGAAGCCAAAGGCTAGTTTTGAAAATTAGGTTAAAAATTGATTTTTAATTTTTTTTAAAAATATATATATATATATAAATAATATAACTTAAAATAAAGTTTAAAAAAAAAAAATACTTTCAACCTCGTCCCCAGATAGGCGAATGCGACAGACACAACGCAAGCAAATGCTGCCCTTTTTCTTTTTTCTTTTTGGGACTCCTGCTTTGTTTTTTTTTTTTGTTTTTTTCTTTTCAAATTACAATTTTATATTAACATAATTTTACTCTCATTTTAACCTCTCAAGCTTTAATGAAAACAAATCTAAAGACTTATGCCCTTTCACGCCATTTTGGGTATTTTTTGTTGATGTAATTATTGTTTGTATTTATCATGTAAAGCGACATATTCTATAACTTTTATATATTACCTTCTATTCACTAACTTCTAGTGAACAAAACAAACAAGAAAAAACTTGTTGGCTATGCTTATAATTATTTTGAAGGCAGTAATTTTTGAAGGCAGTAATTATTTTATATGAAAAAAGTAAGGCTGTGTTTGGTTTAATCATAATTTCACCCCTTCATGTGAAGCCTTTGGTTCAATAGAATTTTCAAAAATTAATTCCACCACAAATTTCAAAACACATTTCTCTTTCATGTTTGGCAAAACTCCTTCCAAGCCAAAGCTATCAACTTTTCACTTGTCACCCTTTCATTCGTCTTTTCCATTCTGAAAAGATTCACGTGCCAGAGAAGATCTAAATTGAAGATGCTTCATGAGTGACCTACAGCTCTTCAATCACTTCCTCCTCTCTTTGAACAATACTCTGACCTTCAAATCCAAACCATGCATGTGAACCGATTCCTTCCCATCCATAAATTGGCATTGACAAGCTCCCACAAATCAACTGACTTTCAATTTGTGCGTTGTGGTTGATTCACCCTCTTATTGTAGTAATTATTTACAAATTATTTTTTAAAAAGAAAGAAAATTTCAATTCGGTTGGAATATATATATATATATATATATTTGAATGTTTTCAGTAAGTAGGTTACAAGAATTTTACATGGTATATCAAAAAAAATTTCAATTAAATGTGATAGTAAAATCATATCACCTTAACATTACCTTATTTATATATGATTGGTTTTTACAGACATAAATACTTATATTGATGGTTGTGATTTCTTAAGAAAAATATGTGTATCTATATATGGTATTATATAATGTGTATACTCAATTTGATGTGAACATTCTCTCAGTTTTTTGTGTTTGTTTTTTTGTTTTTTGTTTTAATATAAATTGGCCTCCAAAACAAGCTCACATTCTAGACCCTTGTAATTGTTTTAAATATTTTAATAATTTTTTTCTTAATTTTTAAATTCACTTAATCTTAATATACTTAAAAAGCAAAAATTTGTACAAATTTCTTTAGAAAAATTCATTAAATACAACAAATATAAAAATATATTAAATTTTTGCATTTTTTTATATTTGGTAAATTTTTTTAAGTTTTTTTTCACAAATATTATATTTTTTAAATATATTTAGATTAAGTATATTTAAAAAATAAAAAAGTTTACATAAAATATTAAAAAAATTCACTAAAAATACAAAAAATAGAAAAACTCAAGATTTTGAAAAATGAACTCAATTTTCTGAAACCAAACATGGTAATATTTCCAACTAAATTTTTTTGCCCTTAACGTTTTTTGGACCTTACATTTAAATTAAAAATTTTATTAAATTTCTTTGACCACCCCCACATAATATCAAAATTAATCTCAACCATTGACGGGTTGGCATTGCATGCATTTGTGGAGGTTCGTAATCAAGCAACATGATTTTCCTATGGGTTATTCGTGCAAGAGGAATACTGATAATCCCTCTCTATTTTGTTTAACATCTTTGTGCTTGCAATTCTTTGATGCAAACACTCAATTTGTGTAAGGTCGATTACCGAAGCACCTGAGATTCCATTATGTAATGTGAAAAATGGAATGCAAATTAATTTCTCAATCTGATCACTCAACTAAATGATACAGTTCAGAAGGAAAACGTATGCATAACATTTCCAAGACATTCAAAAATAAATAAATAAATGTACAGTAAGATACAGGGGGCACTCACAATTTGGTCTCCAAAAAATAAGTCGAAGAGACGGCTAAGCCCTCGACATCATAAGTGCGAACCAGTCTCTGTCTCTTGCCAGGTGACTCAAGCCAACAGAACTCCAAATGGAATGACTTGGATTCTGCAACACTCTTCGCCACATCAGATGGGCATCCCATGTACATGCCCCCAGGTAATAAGGTCACCTGGAAGCCACCATCAAATTTGACCAAGTTGTTGGATATGGTACCGGTCCAGTGTACATTAGTTGTGACATAATCTCCGCTAGATGTAGAGGTTATATCCTGTTTTAATTAAAAATAGAAAAAAGACAGATGAGGAAGAAGTAGAAAAAAGAAGAGAAACTCAGAATATGACATGTTACATGAAATTAAGAACAGAGGGATACACTAAACAATCCAATCCTCCATTCACTCAATTTGACTAGGAGCAACAAACTTAATTCATCCCCCAAGCACAAGACAAAAAGTGTTAAGTGACTGAGAGATGGAGGAAAGCTACATGTGGTACATGCACTAGGGCACTTATTGTTTTTCATTTATGTTAATATTTCTACCAATCATGTGTTCAATTTACTAATCGTTTCATGCCAAAATAACGGATTTTTATTTTATGAATCCCAAGTTTCAACCAAGCCATCCCACAAGGAAACAAAGAGAACTATACACACAGACTAAATGGCGGATATGTACAAGTTAGCATGTTAAAGTTGGTGAATCCTACATTTTCTTTTGAAATTGGAAATTAAGAAAAATAAATAGTTCTACAAATATTGATTCAACTGCAAACCTATACAAATCTATAAAAGCAACTAATTGATCAATGGAGGAAATGACAGTTCTACAAAGATCAGCAAGAGGAATTTTGTCATATGGAAAACCAGTGTTTTTTTTTTCTTTTTTCAAACCAATGTCTAGAGCGAACAGTGTTATGCCTCCTCCAATTAAAGATTTCCCTGGAATTCTACCCTGACCATCAATTCGTAGCATGCTTCTGAGTGACAGAAAAAACAATGTTATAAGTGCAGCCGACTAACTAAAGGAAATGAAAACAAATAAAATCTAAAATTTTCCACGGCTTTGGAACAGCATGCAGAATAGTTGTTGATGAGTTAAAAGGAACATGTTCCATCATCAGCCAAGAATTCTCTTGCATTCTCCAGTCTCCATTTCATGAAAAGTCAATTCACCTTTTCCTCTAATGCTACGTTTGGTTCACTAGAATGAAAGTAAAATGGAATGGAAAGCTCATTCCATAACCTCCCTATGGAATGACCATTCACTTACAATGGTTAATGATAATTCCATTTGCAATGTATTTTTCATCATTTTTTTTTTAGTAAACTAAACATGGGAAAGGACATTGTGATAGAATGATCATTCCATTCCATCTTCATTTCAATTTCCAACGAACCAAACATTACCTAAGAAGGATTAATTGCAAAAACTGCCACAAACCTGGATTAACTGACCCTCATCATTAATTTCAAGCACAGTAATTGTCTCAGCTTCAGCAATTGTTGCTCCATAAACACCACTGCGCTTTGTTATAGAATGACCTTTCCATTTACCAAGATATGGTATTATCCTGTTTGTATTGTCCTGCAACCAAACAAGAAATATAATACTGTAAAAGTCATACTTTTGAGGACAATATAGTATACCATGTAGTGGCAATTGTCTAAATGGAATGAAGATTAACCTGAAGAAAAAATTTCAGCGAATGAATTATATGAATTTTACCGTAGAATTGTCCAAGGAAGGAGGAATAAGCACCCCACAACCTCTTTCTTCAAGGAAGATAAGAAGCATTTCTACAATGCCTTTTGGATCCAAAATATGGAATGCTCTTGCTCGCATATCTTTCTCCAGCGAATAAAGGCAATTCTCACATACTATAGAAGGCCGACGAGAGGGAAGCTTCAGGTTTCTGCATGGAAAAATAAAAAAAGATAAAAAAGAAAATATAGTGAAATAATGGCAGCTATAAGTGCAATGAGAGCTTCAAATACATGAAAGGGCAATTTATTTGAACTGGGGGTGAGACATAAATTCACAGAGTACTCCACGAGAACTATAAAACCATTAATCTTCTTTTTCTTCTGTCAAAAGTGATATAATGACGTGCGAAATTTGAAATTAAGTTCTCTCTCTCCAAATTGATCGCTTGCCGTCTGCTAGGTAGAACAAAAGCATTGAAGCAGTCTATAAGATAAATGGTGAAGTGTAACCACTTGCATTAGCCAATGGAGGCCACAAAACTCATTAGTGGTAAGAAGTATGATAGTACAGACTATTAGTGGTTAGAAGTATGATATGGTGAGTCACTATTTTTACTGTTACCAAATTATCAATTCATGCATCGACAAACTATTTTAGTAAAAAAAACACTCACTTGGGCGATTCTTCTCCAGTGTCATCTTCACCTAGCACACCTTGCCTTAATACAGTTTCTAACATGCCAGCTGTCTGGTACCGCAGTGCAAAGGCCTTTTCATTGGGGAAAAAACCAATCTGCAAACTACTCACGATGGATATTCAACAAGAAACAAAGAAACCATGCAAATTATGGCAAAAGTTTTTTTCCCAGGGAAAATTTGCCAAAGAGAACAACAAATCCTTGAAGTATTGACGGAACTCACCTGCTGATATTTGTCTACAGTAAACATGTTGGTTTCCTTGATTTTGTACTCTGCCCATTCCGGCTCAAATGCATCTCCTGATATTGAAGTGGTCGATGGCGGTTGTTTGATGTATAACCTAAAGAAGTCAAGCACATTAAGCTACTTCGCACAGGTAGACATTAAAGCAAAAGGCTAATATTATAAATTCTTGCAGTGATATTAACATTAGAATGCTTTCAATTGTTGGAAAAGGGTATACCTAAAAATATCCCACAACCTTTTCTTTCAAGGTAACAATTCAATTAGTTTGTCAATTTGAATATATCCAATGTAATTGATAGATTCGTTTTGTTATTTTACTTTCCTTTGAAACATATGTAATCTACAAACCTATACTTTTATTAATTATGTCCCAAACACTTCAGATTCATTGATTCAAAGAATTAAAAAATGCTTACTAGATAAAGGCTGGACTGCATCTCATCATATGTATATATACATTAATGTTATTGCACACATAAATGCTATTTCAAGGATTACATCCAAACAATATCTACTTAATCTTGCCGTGTCAAACATAGAAACCCAACGGCACTGGCGGAGTGCAGGCACAATAGGCATGTCTGAAGGTCCCATTGAAATTGAATTTTTGTTAGTCTTTTACATAGTCTTGTCCAAAAATAAAGCAAAAACTAACAGAATTCCATGCAAAAAAATGGCAACCATCACCACAAATGCAATGAAAATTTAAAACATAACATTTCATCAAAGCATAAAGCCAACCCTATTGGGAATATTATACAGATTCATTCACTATCGAATCGTATCATAAAGGGGAATAGTATACGGTAAAGAGTCCTTCAACTTAATTTTAATGGTACAGAAATTTCATTATGATCCCAATTAAACTACTAATTCTCATTGCAAATTAAAATGTGATAATCAAATAACAAAACATTGTTGCAATAAAATTCACAACAATTGGGCAAACAAACACGCCTACATTTATCTCTAATACACACCCGCACATACTTGCTGCACATTACTTAAAAAAAATATATATATATATATATATATATGACCTAGATGTGCATGTGTTTGATGAAGCTTACGTTTGAATTAAACTCAGGAGTTCATCTTCGCCGTAAGAGCTTACCGCGAGCTTCGTACTCAATTTATGCAACAAATTCCCGTCAGGATCAAATTGCTGAGAATCAATCAAATAAACGCGAATCAAAATAGTAAGAATTCAAATAAATGCTTCATATGAACAAATACACAAACACATATGAGCGTATTGGAAAATAAATACTGACGTAAAAAAAACCGATCCAGTTGCCCAGGTTCAAGTCGACGAAGCGTTGGAGAGCGTCGGTGCTCATCGATACTTGGTTTTCTTTCTGATCATCTTCAACCTCGGTGGAGGATGACGATGCTGCCGAATTCGTAGGTCGAGTTTTGGGAGAGCGAAGAGAGGGAATGGGACTAAGAAAGGGTTTGGGAATGGGGAAAATTGGGGGGAGGGGTAGGGGATTTGTGTTTGGATTGAGGGATTTGGATATTTGAGAAGGAGGAACAACTGAAGCGCAGCATAGGGCTGCCATGGAGGGAGCGTAGGGTCCTCAGCCCCGTGTGTGTGTGTTTCTGCGTGTGCTGGGTTGCATCTTATCCCAGAAGAGTAATGCTAGGACCCAAATATTTTATCAAACGTCTTTCATACAAACCACATGTATACGTAGATTTTATATTTATATAAGAAGTTTTGGTAGAATATTTAGGCTAAGTTTGGGATGTTCCAAAAAAGTTAAAAAGTTAAAAAGTTACTCAAAAAGTTAAAAAATTAACACTATTCATCAAAAGTCAACAATTACGGCTGCACAACTCCCAATTCAAATTCCCCGTGTGTGTGTGTTTCTGCGTGTGCTGGGTTGCATCTTATCCCAGAAGAGTAATGCTAGGACCCAAATATTTTATCAAACGTCTTTCATACAAACCACATGTATACGTAGATTTTATATTTATATAAGAAGTTTGGTAGAATATTTAGTAATTTATTTAAGGTTTATAAAATTTTTTATTTTAAAAATATTACTAAAATAAATTAAGAAAATTTAATTTTTTTAAAAAAAAAATGAATGGAGTATACATTATTTCAAGAGTAATTTAATTAGTGAAGTGGATGGAACAAAGTGGCAATTCATTTCAATATGTTTTGATCGAGAGTGAAAGACTGGATTACTGGATTAGAGGCTAAAGTTATGGCAGAGACATTATCATACCAGAGAAAAGGAATTGTATGAGACACAATACAAAGGTCATGGAGTAACATGCCAATCCAAGTAAGTTCTGCAACACTATGAGCCAATAATCGATACTCTGCTTCAGTAGATGATCTAGAGACAGTGGCTTGCTTCTTAGTTGACCAAGAAATAAGATTGGAGCCCAGAAATACACAGTATCCAAAGGCGGATTTCTTGTCAACAGAGTCTCCAGCCCATTTGGAATTAGAATAGGCCTGAAGAGCAAAGGAGCTGGGTGTATAGGTGAAGCCCTGAGATAGAGTTCCTTAAGATACCTAAGCAACCTTTTCACGCTAGCAAAATGGCCAATAGTAGGATTATGCATATGCTGACAGAGTTGATTGACTGCATAAGACAGGTCAAGCTTGGTAATTGTTAAGTACTGCAATGCCCTGACTATACTTCTATAGAAAGAAGGATTGTGAAAAGGAACATCAGAATTGTGAGGCAACCTAGGCTTAACAGATATAGGTAAATCACATGGCTTACAATCCAACATGCCAGCCTTTGTAAAGCATTATTTCATTCATCAGAGTATTCATTTCAAAAGTATTACATGTTGACATCAAAAGTAAATACCCTACGGGCTTACAACTTTCCAAACCAACACTTGGTAACAAAAGAAGAGTACTAACTCACAAAAGAAGAGTACTAACTCTTAATACAAAATAAGCCCTTAGCTTGATTTACATGTAATACACAATTAATCACAAAAAGGAAGCCTTCAGCTCCTACAACCTCCCAAGCTACATCCTTGGAGGCGGCATGTCGCCTGTACCTGAAAATAATGTCCCATATAGGGTGAGCCAACGCCCAGTAGAGATATGGTAAACATAATATGAGCAATAACTAAAACATTAGCATTTGATAAATGTTTAACTGATAAAAACCAACATATAGTACAATCCAGTTCCATAATCCTTTACTTATCCAATTCTCAACTTATAAACACGGCTCAGAACTTGGCCAAACAACTTAAATGAGACTACATCTCATGCCAACAATACTTCAAACTGCCATTTTACGAAGATTGCGTCCGCAGGATTCGGCACCCATGTATAATTATTTTCTAGTTGCCATTTTACGAAAATTCTGTCCGCGGGACTCGGCACCCATGTATAAATATTTTCGAATTTGCCATTTTACGGAAATTTCATCCGCGGGACTTGGCATCCATGTCTAATATTTTCAAATTTGCCATTTTACGGAAATTTCATCCGCGGGACTTGGCACCCATGTCTAATATTTTCAAATTTGCCATTACGGAAATTTCATCCGCAGGACTCGGCACCCATGTCTAATATTTCAAATTTTCCATTTTACGAAAATTTCATCCGCGGGACTCGGCACCCATGTATTCGGATACATATCATATACAATGACCAATCAATACACATATTCGCTGTATTATTCCAACCGTCATACTCAATGACATACTCAAATTGATTAGTTTTAATTTGCCTAATTATCATGCAGTGTCTACAACAATCAAGACTATTCTTCACCGATAGCCCAAAACAGTTATTTCTAAACAGATAATAAATGCATCAACAGATAAAATTATCAACAATTCTCAAAGGTAAGTGATTATTAAATCCAACTCCACCATTCTACTGCATAATGAGCCAATTTTATTATTCCCAACTCAATTTCATATTTCCATAACATTCCCAAATTAATTCATAACAAAAATTAGGGCTTTCTTCCCTCTTTCTCAACATTGACCAAAAGGCTCAAATATCAACAATGACCTCATTTGAGACCCAAAATACACATGTAATGGCTCAAAGAATAAAACCCCTCTTTAAACAATTGAAACCCTAACACCCAAAGTTACCCAACTTCAACATCATATCAAAATGACTAAAAGTTTATATCAAAAACCATAAAAATGAGTAGTTATCCCTACCTCAAATTCGGAGCTCAAAGTAGGAGATGAAGAAATTTGAAAGTGCTCCAAACCCCAATATTTTCGGATCAAAATGTAGCCCTCAACAAGCTCTACACTTTTTACAAAGACCCAAGGATAGAAGATCATTCCTACTAGATCAAACCCTAGAGAGAAGTTGGAGTTTTAGAGTGAGGTGCTCTCCAATGGAGGTTTTGAAAAAGTAGGAGAGAGAAAGAAGTCAAAAAGTGATCCAAAATGTCACTTTTCGGACTGACATAAGAGTCGCCCTGCTCGAGCGTGGAACTCCCCGCTCGAGCGTCAGACACAGACTCACGCTCGAGCGTGAAAAGTGCCGCTCGAGCGTCGATTGCACACTTTCAGAAGTTTTGCAGACATGGTCCCCGCTCGAGCGTCAGACTCCCCACTCGAGCGGAGGAACAAAATCAAAAGGGCCTGCTCGAGCGTCAAAACTCCCGCTAGAGCGTACGACGACCTGCAGAGAAAAATATTGGGAGATGAATACTCATGCTTGAGCGTCAAAACGCCCGCTCGAGCGGAGAAACAAAAACAAAGAGCCCGCTTGAGCGTCAAAAGCCCCGTTCGAGCGTGAAGGCCAAAATCTGGGCAACAACCTTGGGTTTCTAAACACAACCAACCTGTTCCAAACTTGCCCAACACAACCTAAGACTCAAATACAAAGAGTAAAGGATGAAAATGAGAATAAGACAACAACATAACCACGGAACCAGGTCTGAAATACAATAAACAAAGGAAGGGAAAACCGGGATTGCTATAACCTCCCCCTTTAAGGAATTTCGTCCCCGAAATTAAGTACAAGCTTTCTCAATTCTCAATAACATTACCAACCAACATTCCATAACCTGACCCATCACCGGTCATTCCATCTTTATCCCAGAGGCAAATTACAACGTAATCTCCAACATACATTATCAACATGCCTCTCAAAACATATTCAATGCCAATATTATATTTGCATTTCTAAAACAGAATTAACATATGCAATGTTAAAATAAACTTCCATAAACCGAAACATTTACAATATTTTACAACTTAAGACATATTCAATGCTCTTAAAGTTCATCAACATTACCATATTACCGATACATGATTACACATTAACAAACAAGTCCGGATATTTCTCACAGACCTCTAACTCACGTTCCCAAGTGGCTTCTTCCACTCCGTGATGCTTCCACAAAACTTTTACCAAGGGAATGGTCTTGCCTCGCAAGACTTGATCCCGCCTATCCAAGACCCAAACCAGTCTCTCCTCATACGAGGCATCTTCATTAACCTCTAAGTCGGTCCAATCCAATACATGCGATGGATCTGGCTCGTACTTCCGAAGCATACTAACATAAAACACGTCATGTACCTCGGATAACTGTGGCGGTAAAGTTAAACGATAGGCGACCTCACCAATCCTCTCAAGGATCTCAAAAGGGCCTATAAACCGAGGGGACAACTTCCTACTCTTTCCAAATCTCATCAAACCCCGCCTAAGTGATATTTTCAAAAATACATAATCGCCCGCCTCAAATGCTAAAGGCCTCCTTCTACGGTCGGCATAACTCTTCTGGCGACTCTGGGCTGTAACAAGCCTCCTACGGATAAGCTCAACTTTCTCCGTCGTTTCCCTCACCAACTCCAGGCCTAACAAAGGTGCATCGCCCACCTCAGCCCAACAAACTGAAGACCTACACGGTCGGCCATACAAAGCCTCAAATGGTGCCATACCTATACTGGATTGAAAACTGTTGTTGTAGGCAAACTCCACCAAGGGCAAGTGCCTCTCCCACGACCCACTAAAGTCAAGAACACAACCTCGAAGCATATCCTCAAAGATCTGAATAGTACGCTCAGACTGCCCGTCAATCTGAGGATGATAAGCCGTGCTAAAGGTCAACCTAGTACCCAAAGCACTCTACAAACTCTGTCACAACCTAGCAGTAAAACGTGGATCTCTATCTGAGATGATTGACACTGGGACCCCGTGCAACCTCACTATGTCCCGAATATACAAGTCGGCAAGGTGATCTACCGAGTCTCTCACGCGCATAGGGATAAAGTGCGCCGACTTAGTCAACCGGTCTACAACCACCCAAATAGCATCACTACCCCGCTGAGTCCTCGGAAGACCTACAACGAAGTCCATAGTGACATGCTCCCACTTCCACTCGGCAATAGGCAAGGGTTGCAACAAACCCGCTGGCCTCTGATGCTCGGCCTTCACTTGCTGACAAGTAAGGTACTTAGACACAAACATTGCCACATCTTTCTACATACCCCGCCACCAAAACTGGTGACCCAAATCACGATACATCTTAGTGCCTCCCAGATGCACCGCAAGACGTGAATGGTGAAACTCTCGGAGTACCTCCTCTCGGCAAGACTCCAGCACAAACAAGCGGTCTCGGTATCTCACACTCAAGTCGGGATACACAACCAAACCCTTTTCAACCTTCCCACTGGAGATCTTCTCTTGGAGGGATTCTACTTC